CCAACGCCGTCAACGTCCGCGTCTCGGCGACGGACACGGTGAGTGTGACGGGCACCGTGAACGCTGGCTTCCAGTCCAGGTCCACCAACTCCGCGTCGTGCACCATCACCGTCACGGACCTGTCGGCCATCAACGTGGCCGTCGCCGCCGCGTGCGTATCCCCGCCGCCGTCAGCCCCGCCGCCGCAGCCGCCGCCTCCGGCGCCGCCGCCTGTCTGCGGAGAGGTGTGGGGCGCCACCGGCGCCGCGTACACCAGCGCGAGCATCAGCGGCACGTGGGGGCTGTATGAAGACCTCACCCCGGACCTGTCAGAGCTGGCGTCCTACTGGTCGATCGGCGACGAGTACACCGTCTCAATGACGGCGACCTCGACGTGCAGCTCGAGCCAGAACCTGGGCTTCGAGGGCGGCGGGGTCGGCTACTTTCAAGTGACCGTCCCCGCCAACGCCGTCAACGTCCGCGTCTCGGCGACGGACACGGTGAGTGTGACGGGCACCGTGAACGCTGGCTTCCAGTCCAGGTCCACCAACTCCGCGTCGTGCACCATCACCGTCACGGACCTGTCGGCCATCAACGTGGCCGTCGCCGCCGCGTGCGTATCCCCGCCGCCGTCAGCCCCGCCGGCGCAGCCGCCGCCTCCGGCGCCGCCGCCTGTCTGCGGAGAGGTGTGGGGCGCCACCGGCGCCGCGTACACCAGCGCGAGCATCAGCGGCACGTGGGGGCTGTATGAAGACCTCACCCCGGACCTGTCAGAGCTGGCGTCCTACTGGTCGATCGGCGACGAGTACACCGTCTCAATGACGGCGACCTCGACGTGCAGCTCGAGCCAGAACCTGGGCTTCGAGGGCGGCGGGGTCGGCTACTTTCAAGTGACCGTCCCCGCCAACGCCGTCAACGTCCGCGTCTCGGCGACGGACACGGTGAGTGTGACGGGCACCGTGAACGCTGGCTTCCAGTCCAGGTCCACCAACTCCGCGTCGTGCACCATCACCGTCACGGACATGTCGGCCATCAACGTGGCCGTCGCCGCCGCGTGCGTATCCCCGCCGCCGTCAGCCCCGCCGCCGCAGCCGCCGCCTCCGGCGCCGCCGCCTGTCTGCGGAGAGGTGTGGGGCGCCACCGTCGGCGCCGCGTACACCAGCGCGAGCATCAGCGGCACGTGGGGGCTGTACGACGACCTCACCCCGGACCTGTCAGAGCTGGCGTCCTACTGGTCGATCGGCGACGAGTACACAGTCTCAATGACGGCGACCTCGACGTGCAGCTCGAGCCAGAACCTGGGCTTCGAGGGCGGCGGGGTCGGCTACTTTCAAGTGACCGTCCCCGCCAACGCCGTCAACGTCCGCGTCTCGGCGACGGACACGGTGAGTGTGACGGGCACCGTGAACGCTGGCTTCCAGTCCAGGTCCACCAACTCCGCGTCGTGCACCATCACCGTCACGGACCTGTCGGCCATCAACGTGGCCGTCGCCGCCGCGTGCGTATCCCCGCCGCCGTCAGCCCCGCCGGCGCAGCCGCCGCCTCCGGCGCCGCCGCCTGTCTGCGGAGAGGTGTGGGGCGCCACCGGCGCCGCGTACACCAGCGCGAGCATCAGCGGCACGTGGGGGCTGTATGAAGACCTCACCCCGGACCTGTCAGAGCTGGCGTCCTACTGGTCGATCGGCGACGAGTACACCGTCTCAATGACGGCGACCTCGACGTGCAGCTCGAGCCAGAACCTGGGCTTCGAGGGCGGCGGGGTCGGCTACTTTCAAGTGACCGTCCCCGCCAACGCCGTCAACGTCCGCGTCTCGGCGACGGACACGGTGAGTGTGACGGGCACCGTGAACGCTGGCTTCCAGTCCAGGTCCACCAACTCCGCGTCGTGCACCATCACCGTCACGGACCTGTCGGCCATCAACGTGGCCGTCGCCGCCGCGTGCGTATCCCCGCCGCCGTCTGCCTCTGTTCGGCAGGACCCTCATTTACACTTCGCGCATGGGGGCCAGGCTGATTTCAGGGGTCGTAATGGTGTGTACTATGCCTTCTACTCTGGCCCTTATCTGGCGGTGAACGTCAAGACCCAAGATGCGTCCTTTTGGCTCCACGGTGGCAAGCTTTTAGTCCACGGGAGCTTTCTGACCGAGGTTCACGTGGTCGCCCGCTCCACTAGCAGCACGGCCCTTGCGCTCGCCTCCTTTTGGGCTGAGGAGCTGAACCCGGAGAATTGGGGTTGGAATGTTGTCAACGGGACCTGCAAGCGCCACTACTTTAAGATCGGCAAGTGGGGAAGGAAGCAGTGTGACCGTCTTAGCGTTGAAATGACGTTCTCCACGGCCACCTTTACCCTTGGCAACTGGACGGTCACTGCACGGGGCAACCATGTTTACAACTGGATCTCGGGGCCCAAACACCGCATTGATGTCAGCTTCAGTGCGAGGGGCGACGCCCCCGTGCGATCACTCGCGCACGGAATCATCGGGCAGTCCTTTGCATCAGCAGAACCAAGGTACGGCCTGCGAGACGAGTACCCCAAGGCGGGCGAGTTCACAACCTCGGCCATGGCAGAGGGCGCGATCGAGGGGGAGGCCGCAATGTACGAGATGCCTTCCCCATATTCCACGCAGTTTGCCTTCTCACGCTTCGGTGAGCCGGAAGCTGCTGTGGCGCAGCCAGCTACCCGTTTGAGGGTGCGCCAAATGGCGGGCATTTCTTTGCGCTCGATCTGTGACAGACCTGCAAAACCTAGTTAGGTACAAAGTTAGGAAGGTGAAGAATAGTCAGCGAGGCGGCTCGGACTGGATACGAACACACCAAAACCTCACAATCCAGAGCAGGCGTCTCAGACGCCTGTGGAGATGGGCGGTGCACGAACACAGAGGCACAGTGCGCACCCCGCCCTGCTCGCAGGGCGTGCATCACACAGGTGGGCTGTGTGCATGACTCCTCGGGGTTGTAAAGAAAGAAAGAAAGAAAACAGACAACTAAGTGAGGGATGGGAGACGGGGTTGTGTGCGACGGAGAGAAAATTCTTTTGGTGTACCTGTATTAGTGCCAGTGCGCGCCAGTCCCGTGCCCAGTGTTGTGATTGATTGATGGGAAGGCGAAACGCAGTCCGACCAACGACTGGGACACCAACGCGGTATGGGTGGACGCTAGACGAGCGATGACGGTCACACAGGAGCGACACACAGAACCACAAGACAAGACACTCAGCCAACGTGGCTGCCACACATCCTGAGCAAACTCCCCTAGTCACCCGCGGCCGGACTCCATCCGGCACGCGTCGCTGGGCGCTCAGAGCCGCGTCCCCTGCTCGCCACCCCGACGCCCAAGGCGCCCGAGTCGAACGACAGGCG